TGGGCAGTGCTTACACTGAATAGAATGGATCAACTGCTACATTTTTCTGTGGCACAACATATACAACTAGAATATAATATCCAACAAAATTGTAAATGTTACACTTATTACTATGTATAAACTGAAAAATATATATTTTTGTAGATTTATTACATAAAGGTCACAAGCTGCCTACCCTGAGTAATTACTGACGGCACATGCTTGATATATATATATATATATATATATATATATATATATATATATATATATATATATATTTATTTAAAAAATATGATTCAACATGCTACATAAGAGTTCTCATGTTTCAAAGCAAGAGCCGAAAATTTCAATATGATTATTTGAATTCCATTCCATTCTGTTCCATTTTCGAGTGAATTTTTTTTTAGAATAACTTATTTCTGAAATTTACGTGTTTTATAAGCATATTCATTATAAAAATCAAAATTTCTATGGTAAAGGCTAGAGCAATTGTTTAAAGAAAAAGGGGCGTAAGGTGTTAATAATTTGCATCAGTATAAAGTTACATTCACAGATGTCAAGTCAAGGTAAGGTTGGGGTGTCTAAATTTAAAGCGGAAAAAGACATCGCCTAGTCTGGTTAAGCGTCTATGGAGATTTATTTATTTATTTATTTTATTTTTTATTTTTTTCTGAAAGGGTTTTGTGTATATAAAAACTGTCGTAAATCGCTAACATTGGTTTTTTGACGACTTCATAAAGGATTATCTTTTTTGGTAGGACATTTAAACTATTTATTAGGACTATGGATTTTTAAAAATATTATTTTATTGTTTGTTTATTTTTATGCTAATTATTCAATGCAAAAATTTGATGATATCGGCAGAAAACCGTTAACTCATGTCTATTGTTTAATAGATTTTTATTATTTAGAAACTTGATAATGTGTAGTTTTTCATGTAGGCATAAAGGGCATGGGTCATCCCAAGTTTTACAAGTTCTAGTTTTGTTTATAATTTTCCATTTTACTTTTGGTGTTTTATTCATTTCCTTCAAATGCCAAAAATATTTAGATAGAGATGTTTGATTTCTTTTATTTATATTGTTGAAAGAGCACTTATGCTGTCTCCACCTGGTTTTAAATTCATTCTTCGTAGACCCAATGTATATCATATTAATATTAGGACTCTCAATGGATGAGATAGTACATTGGTATACCACACATTTAACGCAGCATTTATTTTTCTAATGGGCAGTCTTCTGGGTTTCTACAATCACATAATCTTTCACTATTTTTGTCTAATTTTAAGTGTAGGGTTTGATATATATATATATATATATATATATATATATATATATATATATACGCGCACACACACATATATAGACTCGTAGCTTGCCGTGTGGCTAATTAAATTAATTTAATTTGTTTAAAGCATTGCGTTCTTGAGAGTGAGAGATACAAAGAAAGATATAAAGGAATAGAGAATGAGAGCAAGAGAGAGGAATAGAGAGAGAGAAAGAAAAAATATAGCAGAGGGTGAAAGAGAGAGAAGGACGCATGCGCACTTCAGTGTACTGAAACGCAGACAAGTTTCCCTGTCAATCTGAAAGATGTCTCGGATAATTTCTTTCGAATTTCTTTTTTTTTTTAATTCTGAAATCATTCAATGTTCTTTTTCCTTCCATTTTCTTCTCCCCGATTTCTCCTGAATTCATATGGCGTCTTTTCTTGATTTCTTTCATTGAGTTTAAGATGTCTACCATAAGAAGAAGGAAAAAAAATATAAGTTACGCCATATTACTGTACAAATATGATTACAGAAATAACACACGTGATAACTGGGATTTTATTCAAATAAACGCCCTTCACTTTGACAATAAAACAGCCGTCCACTATGTTATGTTAAATAATGACATGTAATTTTCCATTCTGAAATGATTGTCTTTTGTCAATGATATTGTCAATGTTTGTAAGTATTTTTTCTTCGATTGAGCAATGAAAAATATTCGACAAGGAAACGAGAAGGGAACAACTTTATTTCAAAGTACAGTACCGTGTAAAAGACTTAACCCATTTTCAACTATTTAACATTTTTAATAAGTCCCATAAGTGTAAACTGTCTCCAATATGACCAAAGATTCATCTGTAGAAAGTACGATAAAAAAAAGTACTCATAAGATGGCAGTTATTAGAGATTAGTTTACAATGGTTTGACTAATTTTACACGGTATTGAATACACAAAATTCTTTTGAGCTTAAAATGCCTCGCGTTACCGAGAGCGAAATTTCAGTATATCTCACTTTGAAAAGACAAAATCTAATTCTTTGATATTTGACTACATTTATATACGCTATTTCCATGGGAAATAGATACTCGTCATTCTTTAATTTCACTGGTTCTGACCATTACAACTAAAAAAAACTCAATGCCACTTCCACAGTGTCAAATCAACTTCATTTCCCCTGTATTCCTCATGCAATCAGAATGTTTTTTTTTTCAAATAACTATTTTATAGAACAGACTCCGACGTAGATGCTTCCCTGATAAGTACAATTTTGTCAAGTACCAGTCGTTTTCTATCCTCCACATTCTCCATGTCTTTTGCTGCTACCTCCTCGTCTTCCATACATATTGAAGACTTCGTTCAATATAAACAAGGTTTAGGGCTATATCACTTCGAAACGCCGGCACGATGAGTTTGATTAGTACCTAGATGGATGAACGCTTGGGAATATAGGTTTCTGTAATCTTGAATGTACGGCTAGTCTGATGAATTGTGAATCAGTGGGCCGAGTTTCAATTCTTGTTGGGTTCGTTATATTCACTTACATGGAAATCTCCATGGGAAAGGTATGAATCCACCTTTTCTCTCCCAGCTATAAATTAGGTCATAAAACTTATATCGCTAAACCATTATTATCTCCAAAAAATTCGAACGAGCTAAAAATATTTTCTGGCTTTAAATAGCCTGCAATGGGTTGATAAACCGCAAAAAAAGAATCAATCAATCAATGGAATACTGATTAGCAACAAGGGCATGTCTTTTAGATTTAATTACATTTCTGGAATGTAAGTGTATAAAAAAACTACCGAGGCCATAAAAAGTGGGATTAGTATATATATTGATTTTACTATAGAATTGATCTCCCACTTTATATCCACATTACAATTTCTTGTTTGTTGATAAGCCGTAAAAAACGAATCTATCAATCAATGAAATACTGATTAGCTACATAGGTATATCTTTTAGATTTATTTACATTCTCTGGAATAGAAATGTATAGAAATTAATGTGGCCAAAAAGTAAGCGATAAGTTTATATATTATTTTAATATAGAATTCATCCCCCACTTTATATCCACAATATAATTTAATGTTTGTTGATAAGCCGTAAAAAACGAATGAATCAATCAACGAAATACTCATTAGCTACACAGGCATGTCTTTTAGATTTATTTACATTCTCTGGAATATAAACCTATAGAAACTAATGTGGTCACAAAGTGAGGGATCATTTTATATATTGATTGTAATATAGAATTGATCCCCCATTTTATATCCACAATATAATTTCTTGTTTGTTGATAATCCCTAAAAACAACGAATCAATCAATCAATGAAATACTGATTAGCTAATCAGGCATGTCTTTTAGATTTATTTACATTTCTGGAATGTAAGTGTATAGAAAACTAGCGTGGCTACAAAGTGAGGGATCAGTTTATATATTGATTGTAATATAGAATTGATTCCAAATTTCATGGCCATATTATAACTTCTTGTTTGTTTATCAAATTCTGATTAGACTTGAATCCACCTCTTCTTCCATAGATAAGCTTAATTAGTAAAATTTGTATCACTAAATGATTATTATATACCCCCTCCTACACCACCGAAAATTCCTCGAATTTAAAAATATTTTTTGGCTTTAAATAACCTGCAAAGTGTTGATAAACCGAAGAAAACCAATCCATTAATCATTATAACAATTTTAACAGTAGCCATCTTACTTAGTTTTCTTCAGAGTCTTGTATTGAGCGTACATTTTAGTAAAAAAAAATGCCCGCCTCTTGAAAAGGCGTTTCAATTTATTCAGTGTTTACTGAGACACGTAGATAAACAAATAACATGACGATATCACATTCATTTATCAATGTGGATAAAATAAATATTAGTATAAAAATAAATAAATTAAAAAAAAATAAAACTGTGGTAAAAGGTCTGTAGATTATGTGACACTGCAATGGCCACGCGACACTTCCGCATATAATCAGTGCGGAATTCAAAATCTCTCTCTTGTCACAACCCTGAACAACGGCGAACATAGCGTGACACAGAGTTAAGGTAGGACTTAATTTTGGTAATTTGCTTTCTCCCTGTCTTTTTCGAGTTTGGCACGTTTCAGCGTAGCCCACTTGACGTCACTGATTCGGCGTTAGAAAAATTGACTATTCGAGACAGCTGTTCAGGCGTCAGACTATTTCGATGTCACTGTGTTTGACCGCAGTTATCCCCTTCCCACAAAAAAGGATAAAAACATTGGAAACACTCAACTTTCAATATGACTTTTTATTCATTTAGGGAATTAAGGATCCTATTAAAACACTAATATAATAATGTCAATTAAAAACTTAAATTTAAAATATTGTATTTCAAAAAATATTAAAAAAACATAGTAAGTTATTTAGTCTGTTTAACCTGCGAATCACTTTTCCATCTTTTATATGTAATCTCACTTTACATCGATCTTTCTATTCACGTCGCCAAAACTTTAATCCAGGAACCCTCTTGCTATTTGTGGCAAAAATAAAAAGGCATCCACTTTGTTCCTTCCATGTTTTGATAAAATATCTGCTTCCATTTGAAATAAAAGGGCTTTGACGACTGAAAAACATGAAGCTGCACCGAAGAAAATATAATATAAAAACATCTCCAAATACTCCTTTTGTTAAATATAAAAATGTCTTCAACTATTCTTTTTCTTTTAATTGGACTTTTCGAGCAAATTTGAGTGTAACGACCAAGTAGTAATTTAACTACTAAAAGAGAGAGGGGGTAGAGGGGGAGGGAGGGAGAGGGGGAGAGAGAGAGGGAGGGAGAGAGGGATAGGGGGAGAAAGATAGATGGAGAGAGAGAGTGAGAGAGAAGGGGAGAGAGAGAGGGAGAGGTATAGAGAGAGGGAGAGAGAGAGAGCAAGCAAGCAAATTTGATTATCACGAATGAGTATTAATCTGACGCCATCCATCGTGTATTACTTTGTTTCTTCCACGTTTTGATAAAATATTTGCTTCCATTTCGAATAAAAGGGTTTTGACGACTGAAAAACATGAAGCTGCCCTGTAGGAAATATAATATAAAAATTCCTCCAACTAATCCTTTTATTAAATATAAATATGCCTCAAATTTTTTTCTTAAGTTGGACTATTTGAGGATATAACGACGATGCACTAATTTGACTAATAATCGAGAGAGAGAGAGAGAGAGAGAGATTGAGAGAGAGAGAGAAAGAGAGAGAGAAAGAGAGAGAGAAAGAGAGAGAGAAAGAGAGAGAGAGCAAATTTGATTATAACGATGAAGCCTAACTGCCGATAAATCCTTATGTCGACTCGACTACGCCGAATCGGCCCCGCCGAATCAACGACGCCAAATCCGCGACGCTGGGACGTCCCATTCCCGCCTTTTTAACACACACAGATACACAGACACACAGACACACACACACACACACATAGACTCTGCACACAGTGAAACATCTTGATTCCAGTGACACTTAAACATGGTATTTATATTTACGCATTTTTCCATTCCTTTTCCTTTACATTTCAGGATTCTGTTACACCCAATACAAAGGCCAGATAAAGGGTTACTGAGTGAGTAAAATGGAGGTGAGAATTTGGATAAGAATCGCATTGGGCATATTAAGAGGTCATGTAGGATAGGTTTGTTGAACCTGTATTTGAAAAATCAGGCGTGGCTGACCACATATGGAGAGAAAAGTTAGATCATCGCCCTCTGTAGGATCAGGTTGAGATCATAGACAAGGAACACCATTGGAAAATTCGTAAACTTAAGGAATCAGCACATATGCTAGGCTACAAAAATCACCTGAGCCGACCAAGCATAGAAATGAATACAATATTGGAACCAGTAATAAGGAGTGCCAGAGAAAAGCGATACTAACAACAAAAATTGCAAAATGAGCTCTGGTAAAAACACGTAATGATAATAGCAAAAATATGAAATATGAGCACAGGTAAAAATGGTTGCTGAAGACATTCGGTTTATAATACCCAGAAATTCATACACATAGGTATTAAAGTACACATGGCAAATCCAGTGACAGGACCCAAAGAGTGTGAGTTCAATACCCGGTTAAGACAGTGGAGAACTTGGAGTTGGGAATTAACAGGAGATAACTGATAACTGACATCCATTAAACATGACACGTGGGACTAAAACAGTCTACCCCAGTGCGCGAAATAAAGGGTTCAGTTCGACATTCCAAACACCTGAAGAAGGCCGGAGCGTACAATGCCCGAAACGTTCGACAAAGATGAAGACAGTAGTTCGAATAACGTAAACACTGTATTTGAAAATATTCAGATATTAGTGGTTAGAAAAGCATCGTCTCAGTATTCTGTTCCACAAACTAACGCTTATGTAATAGATGTCCGAATGTAACAAGCGAACACGAAAGGAACAGGTTGATTTATCACTGTGAATACGGCATTCCGTGTCTTAATTGTGAAGGTCTGAATTGGTGGGCCTAAGAGTTGCCAGAGTAATAGAGATAGAATAGCGAAAGGCTAGCAATGTTTCGTCGGTGGGGGTAAAATTTGCGATGTGGAAAATAATTGATCACCCGTGTCTTGGCAGTGAGGGGAACCACAATATATATTGCGGAAAATACTGTAAAATACTGCAGCAGGAGTTAAGCATTTTCGAAAGAGATGTGCCGAGGACAGAGTGTAAAATATATATGTGTGTGAGAATAGAGGTAGTACCTTTGATGTCTGGTAGGCTGCACGTTTCAGTAGACGGCCATCACCGGACTTCAGTCATGTGTAAAATCTCTCTTGTGACGGCTCCAAGTTTCTAAATCCTTTCACCTGGCGGGCTAAAATCACTTGAGAGCGTGGTGTTAACGGGGCACGACTGTGTGAAAGACATCCTCGACGCAGGTCACCGGCCAGGGCGGAAGATTTCCTCTGATGAACTACAACGGCCACCTGTCAGTACCCAAAGCAAACCATCCAGTTGGAGGACATTGGCTGTAGTCTAAACTGGAGAGGGATGGGCTTCGCCATGTTGAAACGCCCAAGACATGCCACACGATAAATGAACCATAAAACCATTCGTGGAGACCCGGGCTCTGACAACCAAGACAGATGGAAGAGAATGGTGAACATCTCTGCACATCTCTGCACCAGCGACTCCTTCTCGTCTTAAGGGCGAAAGAAGGAGATGATGAAGAAAAAGATGATGATGATGATGAAGAAGAAGAAGAAAGAGGGCCAATTCCCAATGTTTGAAAAGGACGGTCTTTTCTAAGGCCTACAAAGCTCTTTCATAGTTTTCAAGCATTAATATGACAAAGTGTTTGCATTCAACAAAGAGTTTAGATCAAGGATGGCCAACCTGTGGCGCATGCGCCATAAGTGGCGCATTGGATGCTTACAAGTGGCGCATTGCATCCTTTTGATGAAAAGAAACTAAGCCAAAATCTGAAGAGAAAAAAAAGTCAAAGCATTGATTGATGTCCCCCCCTTTGGATACACCCCTGGTCATAAGTATATATTTTTCATATAAATAGATTTTATTATACGTTTAAAATATGTCCATATTACAACACGTACTGAAAGGAAGTGAATGTTTGTGTGGCGCATTTAAATTAATCGTACAAATTATTGGCACATGGAATCAAAAGGTTGCCCCCCACCCCCTAGTTTAGATATATGTAAATGCGTTTGTCGCTATGTATGACATACACATGAATGTCTCGATATGACGTGGCTACCTGGATTATGGAATCTCGACTTCAGTCACTTTCTCGCCGATATGACCTCTATTATTTGTGTCCATAGGTGCTTCTGGAGAGAAGTAGTACTTATCTGATAAGCTGTACCTTCGGATGGCGAGCATCACTAGTCCTCAACCATCTCCTAAACCTCTCACATGATGGCACCAAGTTACCATGCACCGGTAAACATTCAGTTGTCGGGCTAAACTCACATGAGTGGGTGTGGTTAACCTGGCACAACCGCGGGGAAGGACGTTCTCGACGCGTGAACGATTCCTCAGGTTGGAAGACACCGGTTGCGATTGCTAAAGAATAGCTAAGTAAACCTGAAAGATATTTCTAAGACTTCTAAATGACGTACTGCAATTAACTGGTTTTAGAACCAATAAAACCTGGAATAAAACTGGAAAAAAAAACTGTACATGACATACTAATGTTGACTGATTACTAGAGCAATAAATAGTAAGCTTGGAAGTCATTTCTAAGGCTTGTAAACGATCTAATGCAGATAACCAACTGCATAAGCAATAAGTAGCTATGAAAACTTTAAAGACATTTCTAAGGTTTTGAAACGACTTCGTACAGGTGACTGATTATACAAACAATGAATATTTGAGTATACCTGTAAAACACTTCTAAGCTTTTTAAATTACGTATTACCGTTGATTGAATGGACAAGCAAAAAAATGAGTAAATTTGAAACATACTTCTCAGATTTATAACAACTGCCTACAATTGACTGATTGCACAAGCAATAAAGAACTGCATAGTGATTTTGCAAGCATAGCTCAGATGTGGCGCAAGGTCGAAAGTAAGGGGAACTTAGTGAGGATCGAGCTCATTACTCAGTGGTAATTGTTCTAGCGAGACAAACTTGCTAACCCTTACACCACATCGAGGTGCCATTGATTTTCCAAGCGTAGCTCAGATGTGGCACAAGACCGAAAGTATGGGACACCCAGTAAGAATCGAACTCATTACTCAGTCGTAATTGTTCTAGCAAGACAAACTTGCTAACGATTACACCGACTTGAGGTTCCCAAGAGCTGGGTAAACTTGAAAGAAACTTCTAAGGCTTTTAAACGACTTCCTACAGTTCACTGAATTTTCAAGCAATAAAGAGCTGAGTAAACTTAAAAGACACTTCTTAGGCTTGTAAACGATGTTCTACAGTTGACTGATTGTACAAGCAATAATGAGCCAAATGAGCTTCAAAAACATCTGACCATTGTCATCTGATTTCCAGAATTTCCTTCACGATCATTTAACGCCTGCAATCTTCAGAACAAAAATTAGCACCACTTCAAATATTTTCAACTTTTAATATATGAAATGATTTTAATTAATATGACGTGAATGTTTGAGCTGTGGCATTTACACCTTCTGGTTTGCTTATTCAAGTTTATTCTCAACTCAATGATCGATGTCTTCCGAGAAATTCTTGTATTTTACTAGGATAGGTGCGAAGATATCATATTGGATATATTTGAAGAATACGTTGCGAAAGTGAAAGTGAAACTAGAAGGCGATTTCATAACAATGGCGGCTATCGTGCTAATACGACCACTGACATCGGAGAAAGCATGTATTTCTCCCACAAGGTAAATTTTTCTAACTCAATCAATAGATAATATTTACTATTGTTTTAGAAGAGAATACAGCTATTCCATAATTTTAACTTATTCCTACACATGACCACAATAGTGTTTTTTGCCGGCATTATTGTTTTATATTTCTTTTAAATGTTTTGAACTCTTGGTATTTTCTGTTACTATTATTCTTTTTTTGACTTTTAACTTTCATTCTTGTCCAAAGTCTCTTTAGTATTTTTTATATGTCACAGATATCCAGATAGAAAATCATTATACTTACTACGACTACTGATCGTGGTCATAATATCGTGTGACTATCTATGATAATTTACTAAGAATTATTCTATTTTAAGGTCATGTTCTTGGATTTTGCTGCCATCTCAACTCTTCTGCAGCTTTTTGAGCACTTCGATGTCGAGCAAAATTTCATAAACTTGTAACGATAAATTAATTACGACTGCATTTCTCACTGGTTGCTCCTTAATCTCGGTCTTGATCCACAACTAATCTATGCTTAGTAAATAAATACGAATTTTGAGTTGGGGTAATGTTAACAACTTTATCTTTCTATATCAATTATGACTGAATTGTGATCTTTATCCTGCCTTGGTGACAACCTTGTTCCACAGCTAAACTACGCTTAGAAAATCACCGAGTAACTATCATTAATAGGTTGCTAAACATTATTCCCCTGTAGAGAAGAGTTTTGCTGTCATCTTATCATCTTGATTCTTTTGTCTTGCTAGAACAATTATTAATGGGCAGTGAGTTCGACCTTGTAATACATCTAAGCTTCACTAAATAAATCATTATCTTTTCTGCTTATTTATTATTCATTTTATTTCCTTTCTTTCGGTCTCTGTATACATTCTAGGAAGATAGTTACCATTGTTAAGAAATCACTTTCTACTTTCACTTTCACTTTCACTTTCACTTTCTCGTACATGATATCCACACACCTATTCTTTTACACTCTTTCTTTTATAATTAATAAATATCATTCTACAATATTTTTTAGCATTTTTCTTCTGCCCTATATTGTACTGTATTATTTTCCCTATCAGTCATTTAGTATTTCTAATTTCATACTGTCTTTTAATCATTATATTTATTAATCTAATACTAATGCAACGTGAGACTAGCTATGACGATAGACTAATTACCGCGCTGACATTTCGCTGGGATAATTTGTTAAATATTACATGACACCTTAACGCTTTCCAATATCTATCTTTATTTTATTCTATAGTTTTCGTTATATATTTTTGTCTCTCTTGTTCAATTACTTTCGTTTTATTTTCTGTTCTTTTTCATGTCTCGTAATTTATATATTTCACCTTTTATCTGTTGCTTTTTCTTGGTCTCCAGCGTTTCTTTCTTATCTCCAGGGATTCTTTCAGAGCGTTTATGCTTTTTTAGCATTTTAACTTGTTCATAATTCTTTATTTTCCAGGTACAACATTTCATAACATTTGATTCTGTTTTCCTCTCTCTGTCTACCTCTTTTTCTCTCTCTCTCTCTCTCTCTCTTTGTTTCTTATTCACTTTCTCTCTCTTATTCATTTTTTTCATATATTGCACCATTCTTTTCTGCTGTCTCTCCTTGTTTTTGTTTTTCTTTCTTTCCGGTAATATTTCATCCCTTTTAATTTTCATTCTTTGTCTACGGCTCTCTCTTCAAAACCGATGCATTTTTCATTTTTTTCATATATTGCTCTATTCTTTTTTGTTGTCTCTCTTTTTTTTTCTTTCTTTCCAGTAATCTTTCATTGGTTTTAATCTTCATTCTTTGTCTACGTCTCTCTCTCTCTCTCTCTCTTCAAAATTGATGCATTTTTCATTCTTTCATTTATTCCTCCATTCTTTTCAGTTGTCTCTCCTTTTTTCTTTCTTTCCAGTAAACTTTCATTGCTTTTAATCTTCATTCTTTGTCTACGACTCTTTCGCGTCATAATTGATCCATTATTTATTCTTTCATTTTATTCCACCATATTTGCCCTTGATCTCTCCTCAATTGTTTTTCTTCTTTCCGGCACACCAACTTTCATGCCTTGATTACATTATTTACATTATTCCGACTGTTATCCTCATCCTCATGGCCATATTTACAGCGTTTCGGTCATTGTACGCCCCGGACTTCTTCAGGTGATTAGAATTTCGAGCAGAATCATTTATTTCGTCCACTGAAGTAGATTGTTCTTGTTCTAGTTCCAGTGACCAGACCCAAAATGTTATGAGTGCAATCCAAGGACACAGCCTTAGTGAACCAAAAGACTTGTAGAGTTGAGTTAAAGGGAAATAATTGAGACAACCGGAAGAGGCATGGCACGTGGAACTAGAACAATCTACCTGGGGGATGAAATAAAGGGTTCGGATGGAACTTACATCTCTCCCGTCCCATTTTAATCTTTGAATTATTCATTCTTTCCTTTATTTCTTCATTCTTTTCTTTGGTCTCTCTTTCATTTTTTTTTTTGGTCTCTCTTTCATTTTTTTGGTCTCTCTTTCATTTTTTGGGGTCTCTCTTTAATTTTTTTGGTCTCTCTTTCATTTTTTTTTGGTCTCTCTTTCATTTTTTTGGTCTCTCTTTCATTTTTTGGGGTCTCTCTTTCATTTTTTTGGTCTCTCTTTCATTTTTTGGGGTCTCTCTTTCATTTTTTTTTTTTGGTCTCTTTTCATTTTTTTAGTCTCTCTCATTTTTTTTTTCTTTTTTTTTTCTTCTTTCACGTAGTCTATACTTTTACTTGGTCTTTCGTGTTGTTTTTTTCTTTCTTTCTTTCCAACATTCTCTCTATCCTTCTTTGTCGTCATCGTCTCTCTCGTTACACTTTAGGCTTTCAATTATTTATTCTTTCTTTTATATCTCCATCATTTTCCATTCTCTCTCCTGTTTTTTTCTTCTTTCCAGGATTCCATTGTTATCCCAGAGCTCTTGTGTTGCATTCGATTCTTCCCACAATTCTCTCTCTCTCTCTCTCTCTCTCTCTCTCTCTCTCTTTCATTTTCTCTCTCCCGTACATTTTTAAGTCTTTCTTCATTCTAGTGATCTTTCTCTTTTTCTTATTATTATGTTATTTTCTTTTCCAACTTCATTCTTTTTTTCCTTACCTTCCTCTTTCCGTTCTTTCTTTCATTCCTATCTTCCTTTCATCATTTCTTTCTTTCTTTCTTTCTTTCTTTCTTTCTTTCTTTCTTTCTTCCTTTTCTTTGACCTTCGTTCCTTTCTTTCTTTCTTTTTTCCTTCCTTTCTTTTCTTCTTTCTTTTCTTTGTCCTTCCTTTCTTCATTTCTTTCTTTCTTTCTTTCTTTCTTTCTTTTCTTCTTTTCTTTCTTCAATTCTTTGTTTCTTCTTTCCTGTATTCCTTTCTTTCTTTTTCTTTCCTTTCTTTTCTACTTTCTTTTCTTTGTCCTTGCTTTCTTTCTTTCTTTCTTTCTTTCTTTCTTTCTTCCTCTCTTCCTTCCTTTCTTTTTTCCTTCCTTTCTTTTCTCCTTTCTTTTCTTTGTCCTTGCTTTCTTTCTTTCGTTCTTTCTTTCTTTCTTTCTTTCTTCCTCTCTTCCTTCTTTTCTTTTTCCTTCCTTTCTTTTTTCCTTTCTTTTCTTTGTCCTTTCTTTCTTTCCTTCTTTCTTTCTTTCTTTCTTCCTTTGTTCCTTTCTTTCTTTCTTTCTTTCTTACTTCTTTCCTTCTTTCTTCGTTCTTTTCTTTCTTCCTTCCTTTCTTTCTTCTTTACTTTCTTTCTTTCTTCCTTTTTTCGTTTCTTTTCTCTTTCACTGAAATTATCTCATTCTCTTTTTTCCATTATCCTTTTCTTTTTTCTACTGTTAATATTCATATCGTTCGTCTTTTTCATTCTATTTAACTTTTCCCTATTTTTTTTTTCATAAATCCTTCCTGTTTCTTTATTTCCGTTTCCCCACCCTACCAAATGCCACCAACATCCCCCCCGCATCATTATTACTGTCAGTTCTCTTTCTTTTGAAGGTACACAGCCTTTCAACGCCATATAAAACCATGAGGCATCCTTTATCGGTCGAGTCGACGCATACATACGAACCTCTCCTCAACTTTGTTGATTTCTCTCCCACCCACTCAGCCACCTTCATCCTGTTAAATACCGAAATCCTCTACGCCTGAAATGGTCGACGCCTTCTTCTAGAATGTCGAATCTTTGTCATATACTAATTGCTGTTGAATTTTCTGTTATTTCAAAGAACCAAAAAAGCAACATTTTTCGTAGGACGAGATTATCAAAACATCTCGGTGTAATAAATTATAGAAAATTGTATGCACAAAGCTTTCATCTTTTGTTGTTCTAAGCAGAAGACATTCTTTTTTTCTTTTTTTTTGAAGTCACTTTTTCTGCGCACGCATATTTCAGTTATTCGCACACTGAATATCATTCATACATTTTATTATATATGTTTAATTTAAACGAATTTTGAGTAGAATTCGGTGTGCAAGAAAAAGTTCCTGAATGAAATCAAAGGTGCACAAATCTTTCTTAATATTTTTCTTGACATAAGAATCGTTGTTAAAATCGTTGAAATAATATATATATATATATATATATATATATATATATATATATATATATATATATATGTGTGTGTGTGTGTGTGTGTGTGTGTGTTTAATCTAGGACATAAAAGTTCAGGGCTCCAACTAGAATGCTTATTTATACTCATGTACGCATATATATATATATATATCTAAATATATATATATATATATATATATATATATATATATATATATATATATACCTATATATATATAGAGAGAGAGAGAGATAATCATACATTGAATCAATTAGCAATATTAATGCAATTAATGGCGAAATCCCTTCGCTAGCAGACTTAATATAAGCATTAAACTATCTGTCTATATTTCTGAGATGAGGTAGTGCTCTGGTAAAAAACATGCAATGATAACAGAAAAAATTGCAATATTAGCATTGGTAAAAAAATGATTGCTGAAGATATTAGGTGTATAATACCCAAGAAATTCATACCCAGATGTCCTCAAGGACACACGGCACAGTGGATAAAGGCGTTACTTAGATCCAGTGACAGGACCCAAAGAGAGGGGAATTAACAGGAAATAACTGACATCCATTAGACATGGCACGTGGAACTAGAACAGTCTACCCCAGTGAGCGAAATAAAGGATTCAGTTCGACATTCCAACCACCTGAAACGTTGTAATAAACATGGTAACAAAGACGAGGACAGTAGTCCGAATAATGTAAATAGTGTAAAGTCTATTGCGAATACTAGCAAACAACCAAATACCAAAGAACCAGGACATGAATCCATATAAAATCATGAGAATTTCTTAAAGAAGTCAAAGTCTATTCCAAAATATAACTTCAACAAAACTACAACATAAAAACAAACCGCCTCTACTAATTATGTCCACACAAACATGTATAAAAGCTGAGAACTATCTACCATGTAATCAATTGTGAAGACAGAATAACAGTATTTTTACGACTTCAAAATTACCACTTCACTCTACACAACTAAGAACAACTTAATAGAATGAAAAACAAAAATTATGAAATATTATGTGCTACAAACCTATATATGGAAATTCCAAAGTGTGTGACACCATTTAAGGTTGCTAGAAAGAAAGAAGAAAAAGAAAAAAAAGGCGAGAATTAAATTTAGGTGATAAGAAGCCATCACGAAAAGGACACTAAGCGATGTTATCTTTTTTCAAACGGAGAAAAGTGCTAAAGGTTTTTATTCTCATTAGCGAAGAAAGTAGGGTCGCGGATGTGTCGGATTTAAATTAATTTATGACAACGATAATGAAAATTTCAAGTTGGCCGAGACCCCTACGAAACAGAAACTGGGAAATAAAAATTAATTAATCACCCACTGACAGAAAAGCAAAATGCCCGCTGGACCTCCCACAGAGTGCTGGGAGATAAAAATTAATTAGGTCAAGCTT